CATGGAACACTTCATCTAGAACTAATGATGTAATGTATGGGGATTAACATAAGAATAAAAAAAAAAAATTCAAAAAAAAAATTTAAACACAGAATTACCATACAAAAAAAAAAAAAAATACTACTTTCAATTACTACTTATCCATGAACTGAGATCCTGTCAAGATCACCATTTGGTAAGACATGAAAGTAACAAGAATTGATAAGAATTTATATTTTACCATTTTAAGAAAAGAATTACTCATTCTTCTAGAAAATAGTTCTTCACATAATCTTGAATTTATGACACTTTACATGAAAACTATGTTAACGTGGCATACAAAAGAGGAGTTTACAATAAAAAATATTCACCAACACATTAGATTCTAATTCCCATTATCTAGTTCAAAAGCGATCATCTGTAGATTTTTAAACATATACTTACTGTTCCCAACCTGGTCGACCACCACCTGGACGAGCAGTATTTATTCTTACTGGACCTTGGAAACAAAAACAATAGGTAAATATGAAATCGCATGTTAAGTAAAGTTACAACTATTTTCGAAAGGAGAAAATGTTCAAACCAGAATGATTTTACTCACCAGTTGTGGGGATCAACTGTCCATGCAATAGTGACTGTCCAAGCAAAGACGGGGTTCCAAGTACAGGCACCTGGTAACCCTGTAGGATAAAAACATGAATAAAAAGAAACAGTTAAAAAAAAAAAAAAAAGACAAAAGAGGGAGAGTTAAAAAACAAACAAAACCTGGAAGAAAAACTGTAAGACAAATCTCCAAATTTAAAAGCCAATCAAACTTACCTTCTCCTCCATAAGAGCAGTGATTGCGATTGAAGAGGCACCCTTTGAGTGCTCGGGCGCAAGGGCTGCAGCCGGCAGTATTTTACTATCAGAGTCCCTACAAAACAACGTAGTTTGCAATACATTAATAAGTCATCAGAAATGGAGCATTAGAGTAAAAAATTTACATATTATTACTAAGTCTGTTCACCCACCACCTGCACTAAGGTGAGTTAAATCAAAGCTAAAGAAAACTCTGGAGGAAAGTGAGAAGCCTAGACCTTTGCACAGTTCCTCAAACACACAGTGTAAGTAAAAAGAAGGAATCTCCTTAAGGAGTCCCATCTGTGATAGCTATGACAGAAACCAGTTCAGTTCTCAGAATAAAGCTTAAAAAAAAAAAAAGTCAAAGTGTGGGACCTAAAGAAGACAGGATTAAGAGTGAATTCTACTTCCAGCTTCACCACTGAATCAAAGGGGTAATCTTAGAAAAGCCAATGAACCCTGAGACTCATTCCCACTGTTAATCACAGAAAATCAGTGAGACGTCTTCCATATACATCCCAGTCCTCAAGATTTTTGCTTCAGTAGGTCTGTACAGATCCCTGGCATCTATTTTTTTTTTTTAAAGTGGTTGATTCTTTAAGAATTTATGAGCAACTGGATGACACGGTCAAAGGTCCTTTTTGTGTCTGAAGTGGTAGGATTTTTTTTTTTTTTTTTTTTTTTAGATTTT